AGAAATATATAATGCTCTGGGAAAAAAAAAAAAATCTTTATCTGTCTACCTGTAAATTGAAGAACAAAGGAAATAAAGTGTTTTGTATTCCTGTTGAAGACATTCAAATGTTTTCAGAGAGTGCACATTTTTCAGGTTTCAAGCTCACTTCCACAGTGGTTTGGATTTGTGTAAAAGCTAATTTTTACAAATGCATTATCTGCTCCCTGTAAACCAGAATTACTAATGATATCAAGACAAAACAAGACCTTGATGGCTTCTGTATTAGAGTTAAACCAGTGGTACTTTCTGAGGGATTGAATGTGAAGAACTGAATTTCAGAGACTCTATCTTGTTTCTTCCTTGGAAAAGTCAATGTTGCACAAAACAGAAAAAATAAAGGAGGCTTTTTCTTATTAATTCTTTGTTGATTAGACAGAAACACATCAGTTAATATCCTTTCTTCAAAAACAAAATTGTACAGAGGATTGTGATAAGGTGATTTTTCCCAGCACAGGTATCTTACACCTTGTCACTGGTTTCTTTGTGCCTACAGAAGAAAGAAAGGCTGGCAAATGCTCAAAACCCCTGGTTATTCACTTGCTGATGGTGGATGGGCACCTTCCCACACTCAGGGATTTACCACCTCCCTGGGTGAAAGGATGCAAACTCTCCTTGGAGAATTAATCTTTCAACTACTATAAGCATTTCTGCTACTTCAAGATTAGTGGTTTTCTTTTCACTTCTGACAGAATCATAAATGTCTGGGCCCTGAGGGGACTGTTCCCTGCTCACCCACTCCCCTTGGGACTCCAGTCCACAGAGAACTCCACTGTAAAGTTGGATTTGCTGGTAGCCTTCAACAAAACTATTTTCATATTCAGAGGAGGACCTAAAAAGTGAGGAAAAAATCTCACTGCCATTTGATCCCTGATCTCTTGCTGACTTATGAGAGTGTTAATTATGATATTAAATCCCTTAATAGACATAAATTGGTGTATCAGATGATTGCTTCACTTTCTGTGCTCTGCTTCAATAGCTGCAATCAGCACAGACTTTCAAATGAAATCTTCATTATAAAAGACAAAGAGGAGAAAACAAGGAAATAGATATTCCTGGTTACAGCTCCAAGACTAGAATTTTCTCCTTACCTGAAAACAGCTCAAAATAGTAAAGTTTGAGACAAAAGTCACCTTTAGAGGAATTTTTTTGAAGAAAATGGCAAATGAAGAGAATTGTAGACTGCATTTGCATAGAATCTACTTCATACTGCTTAATCATCCTGATTAAACTTATTTGTATTTACTGGATGTTTGATTACAAAGGAATACCTAACAACTTTGATAAGCATCTATTGTGATTTTCATATAAATAAAACAATTATATTCTTAGTTGTAAAAGGTTTTATACATAGCTATTGGATCATTAGCAAATGAAAATTAATAACTTGCTAGCACTAGGAGCAATTCTTCTCAAGAAGTTTTTGAAACACCTATTAATCACCTATTAATGCTTAATTTATAAACTTGCTTCTGTAGCCACATTTCCATGAGGCTCGTTTAATTTTAAAAAGCATTTTTCATTAATTTTATCACTTTATGGTTCTTTGTTGTGGTGTGAAGACTGCATTATTCTTTTAAGTCACAGCAGAGAGGGAGCAGAAGACAGTTTAGCCTTGAAAAACCCTGTATTGGAATTCTCACAGTCTTCCAGGCACAACATTTTCCTGCATGTAAATTTTTATGTCTCTTTCCCTTTATGGTGTTTTTTGGAATTTGCACATTTTGTACATTGTGGCAAGAAAGGTCTGCAGTTTTACCCCTCCTGAGTTAAATCTGACTGATAAATAACCATCCTGTAAAATTTCAGAATATTTTGTCACTTAATATTAGGAAAAAATCATGGCCCATGCATTATGTATGCACCACCACTTGAGATGTGCAAGCAGTTATCTGTTCCTGTGTAAACACCATTTATATCTGAACCTTAGCGATAAACCGTCCCTAAAATGTGAACAGATGGAAAAAGTGGTTTTGTTTCCATTAAGGAATATTGCCTGAGTGTGGAAATTATGATGATCCAACTACAAATGGTAATACTGAAAACTGATTGCATTCTAAATATCCTCCTCTTAGCTGAGATGATGTTGAGGCATGCTAGGAAAGTGATTCTCATTACTTAAACCCAATCAGAAACTGTCCCAAGACCATGTATCTGTTATTACCCTTTAATAAAGTATCCTAAATGGCTCAAAAAGCTGAAAGAAAAAAACAAAACAAAACAAAACCAAATAGCGCCTTCACACTAATAAAAGCTTCTTCGATAAATATTTCAGGAATTGAAAATAGGGATTTTGGAGAGAGTATCTCAAGGTTATCTTAACACTGTAAGTAGGATAAAATATAAATGAAGAGAATTTTAAATTGATGTTTTAGAAAAATTGCTAAAACCTTTTGAATGTCCAGGAAACATGCAAAGGCTCAATATTCCAGAAGGATTCCATTTAAATTTAGCAACATTTCCTTTTTAAAAAAGGACACTAATTTTGTTATTTGACACTTCCATTTCACAAAAGCTTTTTCTGTTCTGGATTGCTACGTTTGTGCTTTGCTAACATGTTTTGGCTTTCCGGTTTGGCCCTATAGTACTTCACAAATAGAACAAGTTTTCAATTTATTATAGAATATCTGCAGGGACTTATGATAAATGAAGCCAGGTCACTTTTAATCACGCTATACAACTATATAATGTAGCTTAATAAGATTTATGAAAACAAGATGTCTTCTCTTTAGTAAATGTTTGACAATCTGAAGTAGTTTTTGATTTTTAAAATAGTTCACAGAGCAATTCAGAGAAATATAGGATATGTAGTCTCAATCTTTCTATACAGGGGTATATCAGTAGAGATTTCAGAAAACATAATGAATTAATTCTGAATGTAGTATTAATTTTTAATATTGCCCACTGCCCTTTCAATATTTATGTATTTACTAGATGACTCTTTATAGACAAAGATGGCTTTTCAGGTTGTATTCATATTTACTCATTTTTGTCGTCACTTGGAGTAGTTTTTGGTAACATATGCTTTTAAGAGGTGTCTTTAATATGTCCAAAATCATAAGTGTCACCTATTTTGTTTTCTCAACAAAATCTTTTGGCAGACAATTAAGAGACAATGAAATGAAGAGGACAACACATGCTTGCAAGATGGTATACCCCCTAAAATTGTCCATGTGAAAAAGGAGAGCAAAGTATACAAAGGAGGATGTGGGGAATAATATGACCATATGCAGGAAGTAATGCAGCTCTCTGCCAAATAAATGTTTAATATGAGTAGGAGTGGCAGCAGAGATCCGAAATGCTCACAATCTCCTTCATGGTCATAACATTTGCATAAGGACTGCAGGTATTTGTACCTGTCACTCTACTCCAATTTTAGAACCACAGAATTCAAACAAGTCTTGGACCAAAATGATTCCAAGATCAATTCATGTTATACAGAAATCTCCGAAGTGAGCAACAACACCCAATGTTGAAAGAATGTTTCAATACGAAAGTGAGTTTTTGAAGAAGGCAGCCCCAGCCAACTCTAGTAACAAGGGTCTGTCAAATTACACATCTTTCCTACTGTAATCAATTAATGTTTTAATAAACTTCCCAGCAACGGAAATAATAGGAAAGAAAGTTTTATAAGAAGTAAGGTGAATAAATTTTTTGCAAATTTAACACTGAGGACATGTGTTTCTTCTGGTTTTACAATGAAATCAAATTCAAAATGTGTAATTGACTAAATGACTCTGTAGTCACTGGGTTTTTACTCATTTGAGTACCTTGCACCCTACTATGCAGACTGCTCACTTCAGGTTTTACTATTCAATATAGTTCATATCAGAAAACAATTATTGCAAATTCATTGAAGGAAGTAGCTATGAGAATAAAAGTCTCTAACTTGATCTGCAACATTGCATGAAAAAAACAGAAGTACACCAATATCCATTAATGTGCCTGCACTGCAAATAGAGGGCAGGCACATTCTTCTTTAGATCTTCTAGTATTGAGAGAAATTCAAGCTTTACTGGAATAAAATGAATGTTATTATGATTTACATTATTACATTTATACACACAGTTACTGTGTTGAGCTAAGAAAAACAAAAGATAAGGAGTTATAAACCTTTTTTTTATGAACATATTAACTAAATGTTCGTTATATGTTTCTTTGAAATAATTCTGTAATTTTGAACACGTTCAGTTTAGTGCAGAATTTTTGTATTATAGTATGTGAAAGGGAAAGAGAGAACACACATTAGATTTGCAACATTTTGTCTCCCGTTACTCTGCTGACCACTGGAACACCCTTTACGTGGTGAAGTATTAATCAGAAAACTGTTGAGGCTGCCTTAAGGAGGACTGAAAATACCAAAAAGTGTACTTGGATACAAGAGTTAACATTACTCTGTATGAATTCCCCAACTCATCAGGGGCCTAAAGAACTCTCGTCTGTTTGGGGAGGCTTATGCTCTTTTCTGCCAAGAGACATGCAAGTAAACACCCTTTTAGAGGGCATTTAATGTTTATTGAACAAACATGATATGCTTTTGAAACAGGTATTTTGAACATTAACAAGTCTGTAGAAAGTTACTAAGTAGCTCAAAATCAGTAATTAGTGTCCAGGATTAAATATGATATAACAGCTTACTTAAAATTATTCATTTAGCTGCATACATTATGCACATTCTCAAATGCAATGTCATTTCTACTCTCTATTAAATGTATAGGTTCAAAACCTGGCTTTTGGCTGGACATGAAAAATGGATAACAATTGTAAATTTTTTTTTTTTAAACGAACATTTTACTTTTACAAAGTTGCAGGACTATTTCAAACTGGTGTAGAGAAGTCTGTACTAAGAGATACAGCTACTGGACTAAGACAAATAAAGAACAGTTAAAAAATACTTAGAGCATTTTCCTTAGACAATTCATCTCAGTCAAAATACTTAAATTTATTTTTTTTATACTTACTTTGAACTCCATGGGAGCGAACTATTTTCCACGTTTCCGAGGCTACCTCTTTCACATCCACTTGGTAGTGATGAATGGGCACACCTCCATGTGAATCTGGCTTATTGAAGGAAACTTTGGCAGTGGTTTGTGACAGCTCTAAAACTCGTACTCCATACGGATTTGATGGCACATCTGCAAAAGTACAAACACAGTTTAAAAATCAGCAACAACCAGACAGACCTAAGCCGCTGATAATCTACCCACAAAAGTCTCCTTAGAGTGTTCAAGGGAGAAAAAAATAATATTGAATATGATGCAATAATATTTGTGTTAGATAAACAACTTAAGCTTTCTACTACAGAGCTGTAAGAAAACCACATTAATTTCCTTGTATGTTAAATTACTGCAAAAACATTTTCCATTTTTGCCTCTCTTTGATAAAATGATCTTTCTTAATAGCTACTTTCATCATATAAAAATGTAAGAGATCAGACTGTTGACAGTATAATTATGTAAAAGAGAATAACAAACTTTATATCAAATTTAACAAAACAAACAGTTACAGCTAATTAGAACATTCAGAGTCTAAATTATTCTAAATAAGCTTATGACAAAGAACCTTATAAATCATTTAGCCATTTTATGGAATTCTGAAACACAGCTGAATATGTGAATATTTTTTTATTTTTTTCAAAGACTGGATTTCAAGTTACTAAGAAAATATGTTAATAGAAGGTTTCTTATCCTCTGCTCAGCTTAAGAACTAATTTACAAATTAGGTTGAAAGAAATATTTACTCTGAAATCAAAAGCAAGAGTATATCTTTCAAAGTAGAAAAGATCTATGAAAATAAAGCAGGTGTTTAGAGGTGTTGAAATGCTACATATGAAACAAAAGCAAAAAAATAACATTGGAGTCAGTACATCTTTCAGAATAGAAATATTATATTATTTTTACCGTTTGTGATCAAACACATAGAAGTCAAAAGACTAGCTTTTTTAATTTTCCTAAATTTTAAAGAGTTATAATTACAAAAAGTGATACTGAAAATGATAAGGAAGATTTTCAATTCTGTGGACAGAATACCAGGGTTTTGAAACACCATTAAATATTTGTTTTCTGATCCATCTGCAAATTATTTGCATACCTTCTTCTAGATTTGACATTACTTTTGTCTTCATGTTATGAAAGATATTTTTGTAATAATGGACATGTCGGAATTTGAGCCAAAGCCTGTAATTCGGTTAGTGGTTAATGAACCATTTACATAAAATATTGTCTGTATTCAAAGGCTGTCAGACAGTTTTGAATAAAAAGAAATCAATCTGAGCTTCACCCAGCATTACTACTTGAATGAAAATGAGACAAACAATTGTACAAAATATTAAAGAACAGATTTAATGACATATTCAGCCACAAATTCTCAGGAAAAGGACACTGCCAAATCTGGTCTAAAGGCGCTGATTTGTATAACTTCTTCATTATCAGAAGTTGAATTTTTTTTCAGAAGAACATCTCTGTCAGTTATCAGGCTTGAGTGTTTTTATACAAATATCATACCTCCTACAGCTGGCATTTCTGATTCCAGGTCTCCTGAAACCTCCAATACTTGCTGTTCACTGGGTTAAAACCAGCATAGATTTTATTTATATGGATAAGAAAGTTGTAACATCTCTTACTTAAAGACACAGTATGTGAATCCATTACATTACAGATTTTAGTAGAATTCAAGTCTCAGCTTGAGGGATTCAAACCCTTTCCTATTCCAGGAAACAATTATCAGGATATGGGATTTTGCAAGAAATTTTCACATTTCTTAGAAAGGGATTGAAGATCTGTGACCAGATAGAACATGACCAAATATAGCCAGTCTGCTATGAATCCATGAAAACACAGACCTGGTTTTTGGATCTCTTTCTAAATGGGTCAAAAAGTTGAGGGGTCTTTAGAAAAAAGAAATTATGTTCAAAAAACATACAGACTGCTTTTTTCTTTGACCACATAGAAGAAGAATGAATTATATGAGTTGGTTGTTAAGTCAGTATTCACCCCAAAATCAAAAGAGCTTGAGGATTAGAACCAACTTGTGACCAATCCCATTCCTTCAGATTCTCTTTAGAGCTGAGAGAAATACTTTTTTTTCCCCTTATATAGTCATCAAGTACATGAGCACCACTCTGTGTACAGATGCCTTCTCTCCTGAGCTCAAATGGCAGTGTAAGAATCCCAGCCAAGCAATCCAGGACAGCCATACCTAAAGCAGAATGGCACTGTATGAGTCATGTGGACACCATCACTTGGGAAGATGAATATCAATACTCAGTACTAAAGATGCTCTTTGGATTCAATTACAAGTTAAAGCTGCTGTGGATACCTATAGTATTAAAAATATCTTCTATACTTCTGAAAATTCTTTTTCTCTTATTAAAAGTATTCAAAATAAACAAAATTAGGGAATGAATGAATACCTAATTTCATTCATACTACTTTTATGCTAGTTTTTGGATGATATTTTTAATAAGCCAATTCCCTGGTGCTTCTGTCTGCATCAAAACAATTATTTGGTCTATAGTATGAATCAAAAGTATGTTATTTACATATCCACTCTCTTCTTGGCTTTCCAAATGTTAAGGAGCCTCTCTTCCTTGTGTATTAATGCCTGTATGTGGTTAACTATAATAAGCATGCCTACTGCAGATTCTAGTATAATTTCTGCCAGAGGAAGATATGATTCCAGTTGACAATAGGCATGAAACGAATCTCCTTTGAAAAACCCAGTACAATATTTAGCATAACTAGTACAATGCAATATGTTTGGAACTCACTGAAGTGTAAAATACATCCACAAAACTATTTAAAAGATGTGTCTCACATTCCTAGCCACCCACACATGTAGGTAAATTTTATGCAGTTTTCAAAGTTGAACTATATCAGTTGTAAGGAAGAGAGTGAATCACCTGAAGAAAATATAGATGAGACACATTCCTGGTGAAAACCAAAACCAAATACTAGAAATACAATCAAGATATATTACAATACCTACTATCTATCTCCAGCTAGGCAGATCTGTAACATTTTTCCCCAGTGAAGAATAATAACAGCATAACGAATTGAATCTAATTCTGTGGTTCTCTAATGAGTAGGAATTTGATAATGCAAGGTATACAGCTTTCTGGTCCTCATCCAGCTGAACATTCCTGCATTTGAGCTGTCTCCTGTCAGTTGCAATTACTTGGAGCATTGCTGTGATTTTCGTGTTAGAATTTCAGGGCTTCTGGATCAATGTTTAGCAGGAGTGAAGAATAATTTGCAATACTGTGTACTCTGAAGTCTGTGCCTGGAAGGATAGAGCTGTGGATTTTTCTTGTTCTTTTACATGCTAAAACCAACCAACAAAATGAATCGCAGAGGAGGTTAGCTACAGGCAGTGATCGCTAATTCATATACTCTTGTAGATATAAGCTGAAGAACTAAGTAGTGGAAAAAGGAGGGGATTTACTTTCTATGATTTAAAGATCACTTGGTGATAGCAAAGATTCCAGAATACTTTCTCGGAAGTTCCACTGCTATCTTTTTTTGTCATTATACTGCTGTCAAAAAAAGAGAAAATTCACCACAAATTCAGCCTTTAAATTAAAGACATAAAACGTCCCAACAAGTGTCAGACATTTTGTCAACATCATCTTCTTTCCACAACATCTATTTCTCTGTCCAAAATGTCACTATATTAATGTATGATATTAAAGAACTGTGAGGAGCCAATTTAGTTTTGATTTCTGTCTCAATACTGGTTGTCAGAGGCAGGTTGGGTAGGAGGCGCACATGTGCCACCTTGTCGGAGGCAGCCAGGAGAAGATGGAGAAATGCCTTGTCCCTGGGGAGACTTTGCTTGGTCACCATTTCACACCTCACATGGGACAGGCAGTCTGCAGGAGACCACCAAGGATGCTGTTCTCCCCAGAGAGGTTTCTCCAATCAGATGGAGAAACGTCTCCAGCAATGGACTGCATTGGAAGGTTGGACTGGGCCAATGGTGTCCTGTCAGCAGGAGAGACTTTGGGAGGGGCCAGCTCAACAAGCTCCTGGGGGCTTTTAGAGTCTTATTTTTTGGCCAGGGGCTTTTTGACTTTGGGCTTGGTGACTGGGGGGGTTTTGTGCCGTTTTTTGGGGTGTTTGAGTCTGAGGGCCTTTTGAGTCTTGTTTTTTCGCCTAGGCTCCAGTCTTTTGACCCGTGCTTCTTGCCCTGGCCTCAGCCTGCCTTTTGGCTCTCCTGCCCTCGCTGGCTCTTGCTCACCCTCGTATCTGTCCTGTCTCCCTGTGTTCGCGACCAATGTGCTGCCTGCTTTGCCTCCATGTCCCTGCCTCTGGTGCTAATGCCTTAATGCCTGCTTTGTGTCTCTCCCTCCCCTCTCCCCTCTCTCTCTCTCTTACCCCTCCCCTCACCTTCATCCTTTTCCATTTTCCTTCCTCCTGTCTTTTCTAGCCCTCTTTAGTAGGGCAGCTCTGTTTTTTGTTTGCTTGTTTGTACCAACAAATGGTTCTCAGGTACAATGCTGTCTTGGTTGACTTAATTTCATTCTAGACCATCTATTTTTAAAAGAACTCCTCACAGTTCCCCACACTGGAACACGACAAGAATCAAATAAAATCACATAGTATCACCAAACAATAGGTGTAAAATTGCCCCTCATCTATTTTGTACTCAGCACATAACACTGGTTTGCACAAATGGACTTTGTGATACAATGCCTAAATATAATTAGTTTGGTTCCAAAAACAGTATCACAGATGATAGAGAAGTACACACAGAATTATGAGCTCATATTTGCCTCCACTGTTGTGTAAAGTCTCCTACAATTATGACCAAACTTATTCAATAAATGACCAGTTTTTATCACTGGGGATTTTCTTTTCAAGCTATTTTTTGATAGCTTTATGGAAGAAAATAACTCCCTCTCAGAGTTTAGCAGCCATAAACAGAGAAAAGGAAGCGATTCTGTGAGAGTGGGTGGTGGGCTCAGGGATTGATCTTCGAGTCAGTTCTTGTCTCCTGTCTCCTGTCAGTTTGTTCCTACTGCACTTCTCCAGCTTTTCCTTTCTGTACATCTGGCATATATATATTGACTGAAAATAACTGTGTCTAAATGCTGAATCTAAATAGCACCAGGACCTTGGCAAGAAAAGAGATGAGG